GGAGGTGGGAAAATACATAGCAGTGAGCTGCTTCTCCGGGCATGTAGAGTCCTGCCTTTGCCTGGAGGGAGGAACATGGAACGAGGCAGGAGCTATCAGTGGTATCGGGAACTGCACAGCAAATGCAGGAGAGTGAGTGCTGCACAGCTGTGCTGCTCTGCAAGTTCATGCTCTCCCAGAGAAACATCAAGCGTCCTTCCAGAAATACTAGTTGAAACATTAGAACGGCAGAGCTGTTCGTCCTTGTTCTCTAAAGCTATTGATGATCTTTCCTCCAACCTAGGCATGTATCCCGAGGATGAATGGAACCTGCTTTATGTAGCAGTGACACGCGCAAAGAAGTATTTGCTAATGTCAAAGTCCCTGGAAAACCTTTTAGCATTGGCTGGGGTAAGTGAAATCTTTCCAAGGTAAGCAGATCCTCAAGCGGGGCACTCTAGGGCCCTGATACCTGCACTTCATAGCACGCTGCACCAAAGCAAGCCATCACCATGTGCGATCTGACTGAGCAGCACTGCCTGTGAACTGCAGCAGTTCCTCAGCTGATGTGTGAGCGCTCCAGAGGCAGAGCAGACGGCTGGGGAGGGCAAACTCCCAGGCACACCCTTGTCTCCCAGTCTCATTAGGATTTGGAGTCTTGAGGCAGCTCTGCAAGCGATGATGTCTCAGGCAGAATGGGCTGCTGCTCCCGATTTAAGGAAGTGCCAAGAGAGTCAGCACCCGCTACCCATAAAATCTGCACATCTCTGATTATTGTGTTTGGAGGGGGTGTATGTACTAGAAGAGCATAAAAGAGGATTATCATAAGATTCACCCTGATCCTAAGATTCATGCTGAGCGTGGACTATGCCGTGGCTTTTGCTGGCATAGACCAGAATACCTGAGGTCACATTTTTTCCTCAGTTCACGCTGCCCTGCACCGTGGTTTCAATAGCAAGGCACAAGGTTGCAGCATTTTTTTTCACAGTCCTTGCATTTGGGTGTTGTCTTCTACAGATCCTGACTTCGTATCTCACGTAGGTTCCCTTTTCTCTGTCTGCAGTGGTTGCTAGCTCTTTCTTCACTTCCTTCCTCACAAGCTGCTGCTGGCTTCTGCTTGATTTCTGTTGTCACCAGGGGTTTGGGATTTTTTTGTTTTGTTTTATAAAAAAACATCATGTTGCGAGTCACTTCCCAGGGGGTTAAAAAAAAAAGAAACAACCTGTTCCAGTATCTCAGCTCCCTCTTGAGCATTGTTCCCTTTTTTCTTGTTTCTTAGGAGCGTTTCCTTCGGGTGGAGCTGATGAGTGAGGCTGCAAAGGATGGGGCCCCCATCGCTTGTTCTATGCCACTGTGTACAGAAACACTGCAGTCCAGCTCCAGGCTGGTTGTGAGGAAGCTCCCTTTGACTCACGTACGTCCCCTCCCCGGGCCTTTGAGATCAAGTTTCTGAATCGGGAGCCTTCACGAGCCGCTCCAGCCACTTGCAGGGCTGCTGTGCACTGGGACAGTTCTGAGCTATTGCACTGGGGAGGGACAACCTGAGTGCTAAGCTTTAGTGGAAGCGACCAGGGAAAGTCCGGTAGCTGGATCTCATGCCCACAGCTCCCCGGCCCTTTACTTCTGCTCGCAACCCCAGCTCATAACTGGGGGTGACTTCCCAGCTGCATGATTGGGGGTGGTGCTGCAGTTCCCATGGATTCACTCAAGTCTTAACCTCTTTTCTGAGACTAATTGTGGTCTCAGGTGGGGCTGGTTTGGGGGTTTTGTTGTGTCAGATCCCATATCTGACTCTTAGAGCCTCTGCCAAGGTCATTGAACATCATCTGAGGCTAGCAGAGCACCCCTCACCCCTGCCAGCCAGCTGGAAGTGACAGTCTGACTTTTGGGACCAGTTTTGGCCACTTTCTGGCTCTGGGGTTCATCCATGCCCAGAAGGTGCGGTGAAGGCCAAGTTTCCCTAGCGCTGGGATCTGCAAGCATGCAATAAATCTGGTGGAGCTCCATGTCCACGACAAGAGATAGCAGATGGCTCCAAGCCATCAGCAGGGGACATGAGCACTGAGACAAGCAAAGCCTCGTCCTTCACCAGCAAAGACCTACACAGGGACATTTTGGTTGTTGCAGCTATTAAACAAGATAAGGGATTTCCTTGCAAGGGAGGTGGCAGGAGATGCTTCGGGCACATGGTTGATCTCTTCCCTGGATGTGAGGGGGTTGCATCCGAGGTTGGAAGCCTTCCTCCAGCCATCCTCTTCTCTCAAATCTCCTCTCTTTTCCCCACAGAGCAATGGCAGCAGGGATGCAGGTGGCTACCTTTGCCACACTTGCACGCGGCAGCGCTTTGGCTCTCTGACACCACTCACCTTTTTCCCAGCGCTTCAGGAACAGCCCGTGCAGCTCTAATGAAGCCCTCCAGCTCCCCAGAGCCCTAATTGTGGCCCGGAGCCATCCTGGGTGCAGGACAAGACCTGTTGTCACATCCCAGCTCCAAAATCAGGTGGATGTTGGAGCAGGATTTCAGACCAACTCAAAGAGGAACCCTCCAGGCTCTCTGCAAGGAGATGTGAGACCTTTTCTCCAGCCCTGCCTTGCTCTCCAAGAGCTGGTCAGCATGGCCTGCACTGCATCACTGCACAGAAGAATATGCACTATATAAGCTGTATCGGACAGGATGGCGCTTTTTTTTTTTTTTTGGAGCATTACTCCTCTGTTACCTCTGTCACCAGGAAAACACCTCCAGTGACCAAACTGCCAGGATATCCTTGCCTATTGCATTACGTCATGCCTTGGTGAAATCCCTCTGAGCCACCAGAAGAAGAGGAAATGCGATGCTGAAAAGTACCCAAAGGAAAACTTTATTCTTAGAAAATGGACTTTTTACTATCAGCTCTGGGAGGAAGTCATTAGTCTTTCCCAGCTGAATTAATTTTCCTTACTTGCAGCCAAGGGGTTTCCCAGGCTCTGTTTCCCTTCTCCCTACAGGAAACCATAAGGGAAGAAGAGAGGCAGCATCTGAAGAACTGCTTTAGTTTGGTTTCAGTCTTAACTCAGAGACAAACTGGAGAGCGCTTTTAATCCTAAAATTAAATTTGTAACAAAAAAAAAAAAAAAAAGAAGAAAGCCTTAATGCTTTCTTTTTTCTCTTCCCTTCTGTTAAGAAGTCATCTTGAGTTGCATTTATTTACCAGCCATCACAGTAGCAGTGGTGCAAGCAGTGGTGCTCTTGTAAATCAGGTGGTGGCTTACGCTCTCCACTTGAAGACACCATTGCTCATTGTACCAGAGCCTGTGTCATGTGGAGATCAAAACCAAAACCAATTTCAGAGGAGATCTGCTCTTGGACATGGGCCCAGAGCTGTGAGCCATGCCTGCTGGAGGAAACTCATGCATCCTGTTGATTTCCATGGTTATTCATTGAATGGTAACTGCTTTGCTGGCTCTCCTTTCACTTTCGAAGCACTAACTTCAAAAGGCTTTTTTTACCTCTTCTGCCCACCTAAGTGCAGGCAGTTCACCCAGGACTTGGATGTTGGAGGTGACCGCAAAGCTCAGCGCAGATGTTGGACCAGGTACCTCCAGCGATTCCTTCCAGCCTCACCTGTTTTCCAGCTGTCCTGTGGTACGTTGTGGAGAGGCAGCACCATTGCCGTAGGGTTTGGTCTGTCACGCATCTGACATGCTGCTTCCTCCAGCTCTGACGTTCTGGAGCGGTGGCACAAACAGGAGGACAAGATGCAGTGGTGAGGAAAGGACGTGGAAATTAAGTTGCTAGATACCTACTGCATTCCAGCTGACTGCTGAAAACCCTTTTGCCATCCAGCTGAGCCAAATGAGTGAAGGCAGCTGCCACCTTGCCCTCACCCTTTGCCCTAGAGCATGGCACCACTGGTGGCCGGTGAGCCCTTGCTGCTGTGGAGATGGATTTCACCCCAACCTAGCTCACGTCTGTCCCCACTGTCCTCCCCACCATCATGGCTGCCGAGACGCCCGACCAGACAAAAAAATCAACTGCTGTGTATGCATTATTTTACATACAATATATACACTTTTATACATAAAATGGCACAAGTATAAAGCTGCCCATTCTGTAGCAAGGGGGAAACGAGGGGATAACAACTGATGATGGACGAAGGGAAAACGTGCAAAGGAAAATATTTCCTAGGTCGTGTTACTGCCTTCAGTCATTGATAGTGTCTATAGCGAAATCGCTCCTGCTTGTGGTCCCCTGCAAGCGGCCGGAGCCGGTGGGCACCTGGGGTCGGCGCCGAAAGTGCCTCCGAAGGATCCCTGAGCTGCGTACGAGGGCTGACCCCTGTGACCGTGGCGGGCGGGCACCAGCACTCTTCGCTGCGGTTGCGGGTTCACTGGTGAATGGCTGCAAGAGAGCAGGAATGGGGTGAGGATGTGGCAGAGGGATGCTTAGCTGGGTGCCTCTCTCTCTTCCATGAGCAGTGGGGTTTGGGGTCTCTCTGGGTTTTGGGGCAATTTGGGGGAAAAGCAGCTCTAGGGAAGGGGCTAGCGTCCAGCTGGCCCAGTTCTGGCCTTGCTCCTGACCAGGGGATGGGCGCTACTTGGGGCAGGGTAGCCCAGCTTCACCCCTGACACCCCAACCCTACCCCCTGCACCCCAAACACCCTCCGCTGGGGCAGGCACCTTCACTCCCCACTGACCACCAGCACCTGCAGGTCCACCTCCTCCGAATTCTGGCTCCTGACGCAGGACATCCCCCGCCTCCGCGCCACCCGGGGTGCTGGTGGGGTTCACCCACCCACCATTCAGCCACACAGATGGGACACCCACGCACCTTTGGGTGCTGGAGTCGTCTCATCCACAGGAGTCACTTGTTCAGGTCGGAAAGAGCAGCTGCGTGTCCCCGGGGTGAGGATGCTCTGCACAGAGGACGGCTGGGGACCGGGACATGCTCTGCCACGTGCCGCAGCCGCTCCAGGAAGCGTCTGGGCTTTCCATCCAAGCCCCGAGCATCCTCCGGGCTAGTGGGTGCACTGAGTTGCCTGGCGGTGGGTACTCAGCCCGTGGGGAAGACGCCAGGCGGCATCATCTCATCGTTCTCAGCAGCGGGAGCCACCATGGGGATGGCCGTCACCGGCACCATGTAGCTCTGCCCCGTGCGCCTGCGGAAGGGAAAAGAGCGTCACCGGCATCCCAAGGCTTTTCCCTCATCTTTCAGGAAAGCGCAGAGGCCGAGGGCAACTCATCACCGGGGTGGAAAGACCTCATGGGGCTCTGCACACTTACGTTTTTATCCTCCAGCAGCAGCAGGTCACAATACCGGCGACCACCAGCACCGGGAGCCCTGCAGGGGAGATGCAGTGACTGATGAGCATCTTCCAATGTGTGGCCCGGGGCATGGCCCAGCTCAAGCGAAATGATTCCGCAAACAGCCAAAAATGCTTTGTGCGCATTCACAAGGTGCCCTCCCCACCCTGGGAGGAAATCTGGGTGCTGCATTCTTCCTCCCTCGGGGGCATTGCCGTCGACCATGGCATAAACCTCCCACAGCCCCGAGGAGGGCTTTTAAGCTAAAAAATAAAGAAAATAAGCCCCTGCTTGCCAAAATAAGCTTTTTGCCCGGCTTACCAATGGAAGAGGCCAGGGTCTGGATGGAGACTGGAAAAGAAGAGAGAAATGGAGATTTTTAGCTGCAAAGCTAGGAAAGGTGGGGATGCTGGGGGGACCCTCACTAAAAAGGGGTTTGGAGAGAAGGAAAAAAAAAATGCATTGAAAAAGTAAAAGAGCCTTTGCCGGTTGAAACTAGCCCTGTTGGAAGGTTATCTTTCCCTAGGCAGGTGGCCCGACCTGCAGCATGGTCCATGGGGGCGGTGGGCAGCGGGGTTGTCCCCAGAGATGACCCTGGGGCCATCCCCTCTCCCGGTGTGGATGTCTGTAGCCGTGGGGGCATCTCTGGCAGCGTGGACTTCTCCAGTGACGGCCCATCGGTCGCTGGTGGCGTGGGTGACCGGCCAGCAGCTCCCGGCATCCCAGATGTTGCTGCTGGAGAGGGGTTGGAGGTCGGGCTGGCATCGGTGGTTCCTGCTGGGAAAATGGTGTAAAACATTTTAATTTCAAAAATTAAAAGGCACGCTCCAGGCAGCGCTATGATTTCAGTGCTCAGCCTCATGCCCGCTTTGGGCAGGTTGCAGGGAGGGCGATACAGCCTATCCAGCAGCTACAAAACAGCATAATTTCACGCAATTGACTTAATTTGATCGCACCATTGAGCGTTTGCCCCTTCCTCACCCTTCTGGGTCGTCCCCTCGGTGTGCGGCACGGTCGGGAGCTCGGGGCTGGGGGTTTGCGGAGGTAGAGCCGGGTCCCCTTCGGGAAGACACAACACAGAGACACCATCAATGGCAGCACCCATGTCACCCTGCATCCTCTTCTGCCGCGTCGGTGATGGAATTCTCCCCCCTCCCTGGTCCGCATCGCATCCTGGCTGCCGAGCGAGGGCTTACGGATGCATTGCAGCGTGGTGTGGGTCCAGTTGGGCTCAGTGGAACCTTCGCGGAGGATGCACTGGATGAGGCTGGAGGTACCAGCTTTGCGCTTGTAGCCTGGGTTGCAGGTGTAGCGCAGGCGGGTGTTGAGCAGCGTGTTGTTGCCCACGTCGATGTGCGCGTTGGCCACGTCCTTGGGGCGGCTGCATCGCGCTGGCGCTGGAACGGCAGGGGGGAAAAAAAGAGATGGAGATCACAAGAGGGAGATTAGGCAACCTCTGGCCCCGGCTCGCTGGGCTGAATGGCACCCAAGGTGGTCAGATCCTGCCAGGGGGTGGGAAGGGGGTTACTGGTGCTGTCCTGGGGCTGGGAGAGCCTCATTCAGCCTGCAAAAAGACAGTGGTGAGATGGCTGTGCCTGTGCACAGGGGATGGAGAAGCAGAAAACTCTGTTTCCAGCACATTTGTGGTCACTTGTAGCGGCCCCTCCGGTTGCTGAAGACTTTTTGCAGAAATTCATCCCCTTGCAGTGACCGTCCCAGGCCAGCAGCCCCGGCTGCATCCTGTCACCAGCTGCTGCATTTCGGCCACACTCGCCTCCCCCTTTTTTCTCTGCTCGTTTTGCAGTTGGACATGAAAAATTCCAGGTGTTGCGTGAATCCTCCAACCACTTCCCAGGGTTTTTACGTGCCGGAGGTTGCAGCCCACGGCCCTGGAAGTGGCTGGAATCTGAGCATCACATGGCCGGGCAATGGGGTGGTGATGGGCTACGGGTTTTGGCTTTTCTTACCCCCAGAAGGGTTCGCGCTTCCCCTTTGGCCTTGATTTGAGGTCGGTTTCGCAAGAGGGTATTACAATTTCACTTCTTTTCTCTGGTGCAACGGAGAAAGTATCTCAGTTGCCCTGAGACCGTGCCCACGCCTGGACCCCTGCCACAGCATGGGAATGGCTCACCCGTGACCCGGCCGCTGCCAGCTCCTGTCCCCTGACGTGAGCCGCCGTGGAGAGGTGGTGCTCCAGGGCCGGGATGGAGAGATGCGCAGTGCAGATAAAGCAGTATACAGCCAGGCCGGAGCGGTTCACGGCTGGGATGGAGCGATGCGTGGCGAGGATGTGGTGCATGGCCGGGATGGAGCAATGCATGGCCGGGATGGAGCGATGCATGGATGGAGCGGTGCCCAGCCGGGATGATGCACATTTGGTACAGAGGGATGTACGGTTGGGCTGGGATCGGGAGCAGGACGGTGATGGGAGCGCAATGGCAGTGAGGACAGGAGCACAACAGGGATGGGAATGCGTCGGTGATGGGGTCAGGAGGCCATTGGGGACAGGAGTGCGATGGCAGTGGGGACAGGAACACAACATGCACCCAAAACACCCGGAGATAAAAATCTCCTGCCCCAATTTGTTATGTATCCCCAGAACATCGGGGGGGGCTCTGCTCCATTTCGGTGCTTGGCTGGGTCTGTGCTGTGTCCCCCGGCGCTGGGACACCCCAAAGAGCTGCAGCCGCTGTGCCCGGAGAGCAGGAGCAATGCAGTGGCTACACGTGTGCTGAGCATGTCAGTCCTCAGCCTCCTCTCAAGGCGGTGGCGGTGAAATCTCTGGGAGCGTTTCAAGGAAATGCCACGGGCCATTTTACAACTCCCTCACACGTCACCAGACCTGAAGCTGTGCCATAAATGGAACAAAAAGTCTTTCCAGTGCCAAGACAACCCACAGCCACATCTGCAAAGGCAGCATACTGGGAAATCCAGCCAGAAGCATCAAAAATGTCCAGGAAAAACAGGGACCTGCGAGTCCTGCTTATGCCTTTCAGCTTTAAAACCTGATCTCATCATCCTAATCCCACCAAAGGACTTTTTTTTCTGGTTGATTTGACTGTAAAATAATCTCCTTTTCCAAAAAATGCCCAAGTCCTTCGATGGCAAGACCCCCGTGTCTCTGCTCTCCAGGATCACAACCCTGGTATCTCATGCCATCGCTGCACCGATTTCAGTTTGTTTGATGAGACAAAACACATGCCAAAGGGGAAAAGGGGAGGAAATCTTTGGGGATTCAGGTTTCCAGCGCCACTACAGCCCTGGAGGTGCATGGCCAAGATTTAGGCTTTCTTTTATAACTCGGCAGTGAATTGGAAATGGTGTAAAGCATGGATGGATGGGGAGAGCTGTGACCGTGATAAACCTCTTGCTTCCAAGCAAGGAGATCTGCAGTAACTACAAGCCCCTCCCTCTCTTATTTGCTTTTTTACTGAAGCAGATTGATAAAATTCCCTGGATCTGGGCACTGTCAGGCACTCACACACAGAAAAAAACCAAGATCTGTCTTCTGTTTTCCTGTTAATTCAAGGAAAAGCCCACAAGACTCTTCCAGGATGGCCAAAAGCATCTCTCTGCTTGTCTCCTCTCCCTCTGAGCTTTGCAGGTTGAATTTTCCCATTGATGTGTCAGCCCAAGTGCTCAAAAACGCATCGCATCGTTACCCAACCTCCGAAACGAGCCATGGTGCCGGCTAGCAGCCTTCTCAGGAAAATACCTCCGTCTGCCTTATTTCCATCTGAATTCCCTGCGTCCCACAGATATTAGATTTCCAGGTTGAAACACATGCACGATATTCGGGGGGGTTTGTCTTTGCATGGTTAATTCATGTTTTCACTTTGCTTTTTGTTTTTCTCCACCAGCGATCTCAAATGATGCTGGTGAGGGGGAGCTTGTCCTGGCACGTCAGGAAGCAAACCACACAGGCACCGGGCACACGGCCGGGATGAGTCCCAGGGATGGAGATGATGCCACGTGCCGTCATCCCATGTCACGGAGGTGTACCCCTCCAGCTTCGTGGGCTGCAGGGGGATGCACAACCACAACTAGACACCAGAGAATCCACACCGGGAAACCTGGACCATTTTTCTTTGAAGATTATCAGCAAAAGGGCCAGAGCGGTGCTCATTTTCTGCTATTGATTTAAAAACTATAAGCTAAAAAAAGTGGAGAAAGAAATTTCAGAAGTCTGTGCCCAAGACTGGGGAATTCATGAGAAACGCCAAAACCACAGAAATAAATATAACTTCTTCACGTTTTTAACTGAAAAACATTTACAATGGAATGGCTGTGCCGGGGGTGGGAAGCAGGAGAGGACGTGATGCCCAGAGTGAGCATTGCAGGACACATCAGCACGGCTGGCGCAGAGGGACTGCGGCACCTCCCAAATTATCTATCCATCAAGTGAATTAAAAGCAATAAATATTATTCTTGTTCTCTAACACCCCAGATGACGACATTTTCTGCCCCGAACGATGGTCCCAATTGCATCACCACTATCAGGAATGTTGTCTGCAGGTCCGGGACGGGGCCGTCAGAGGATATTGACTTCAGGGACAGCTATTTTTAGCCTGTTCCTGAGATGTATCTGTATTATTTTTGCCACTGGAGTCATTTTACAGCCCTCACTGCACCTGCTGGCTGTTTAGAAATAGGAATAAATTCATTTTCTAGGGTGTTGCAGCTTCAGCAGCAGACAGGAGCTCGGAGAAGGGAGAGAGCACTAAAGCTGTCCCGAAGCTCTGCGCTCCCTTCCAGCCTTATCTCTTGCGCTTCCATGCAAATCCTTCGCAATTCCCCCATTTTCAGTTATTTATGTCCTAACGGTCTTGCCGCTGCCGCCAGCGGCTCCCCGGAGCTGTCAGCATCCCTGGCTGCTCCGCCGGCTGCGCTGAGCCGCGATGGTGATTTTTCCTGAAGCTGCTGCGGCCAGAGAAGAGCAACGAAGCCGGTGGAGGGTCTAGAGCACAAGTCCCGTGAGGAGCGGCTGAGGAACTGGGGTTGTTTAGCCTGGAGAAAAGGAGGCTGAGGGGAGACCTGATCGCTTCTGCAACTGCCTGAAAGGAGGGTGTAGCCAGGTGGGGGTCGGTCTCTTCTCCCAAGTAACAAGTGACAGGACGAGATGAAACGGCCTCAAGTTGTGCCAGGGAAGGTTTAGATTGGATATTAGGAAAAATTTCTTCACCGAAAGGGTTGTCAAGCATTGGAACAGGCTGCCCAGGGAAGTGGTGGAGTCACCATCCCTGGGGGTATTTAAAAGATGTGTAGATGGGGTGCTCAGGGACACGGGTCAGTGGGATTTGGCAGTGCTAGCTTAATGGTTGGACTCGATGATCTTAAAGATCTTTTGCAACCTAAATGATTCTATGATTCTATGCTTTTGGACAGGCGAGACATGATGCAACTTTCCCGGTCCAGCAGTGATGTTCAGCCATGGACAAGTCACAGTCCCGTGGAAAACCCGCGGACCCCACCCAAGGTGAAATCCCGCAGGATTCAGCTCCCATGGGCCCATCACATGGACCCTAAAAATTACCCCCAGCCTCCCTGGACACTGGTGGGGAGGTGGCGTGGGCACCCAGGGAGGGAGGTGGGCACCCAGGGGGGTGCAAGGGGAACACAGTGGTGCAGCCTGAGCACCCCGGGGAGCGGTGTGGGTACCCCGGGGGTGGGCATGGGGCACCTAGAGAGAAGTGAGGGCACGCAGGGAGCAGCGTGGGTACCCCGGGGTGCAGCGTGGAAACCCTAAGTGGGAGCTCGGGTACCCAAGGAGAAGCGTGGGCACCCCAGGAAGCGGAGCGAGCACCTTGGGGAGCAGTGTGGGCACCCTGGGGAGTAGCGTGGACACCCCAGGAAGCGGAGCGAGCACCCCAGGGACGGCGTGGGCACCCCAAGGAGTAGTGTGGACACCCTGGGAAACAGAGGGAGCACCCCAGAGACAGTGTGGACACCCCTGGAAGTGGAGTGGGCACCCCAGGGACAGCGAGGACACCCTGGGGAGTAGCGTGGGTACCCCTGGAAGCAAAGTGAGCACCCCAGGGATGGTGTGGGCACCCCAAGGAGTAGCGTGGGCACCCCTGGAAGCAAAGCGAGCACTCCAGGGATGGCGTGGGCACCCTTGGAAGCAGAGCGAGCACCCCAAGGATGGCGTGGGTACCCTGAAGAGTAGCGTGGGCACCCCGGGAAGCAGAGCGAGCAC